GTTTCTTGGATTGCGGGGGCATATTAAAGGATCAAAACACTCAGTCAAAGATGGTCAACCAAAGAATCCCGGTCAGCAAGAATTTGGAGCCATGCAGCCTCGTCACCATCCATGCAATACAAATTGAAGATAGCCTGTTAGGGTTAGGATTGCTTTAGTTGTTACCAATGGTAGTGCAACACGTGTAGATATCACACACTCACATATTTGCTATAAATATGTAACCTTGAACAATGAGCAGCCGGCGAGAGAACCAACACAATGAAACAGTACACATTTTGAGCAAAGAAATTATTATGGCAGATCTGATCTTATCTTCAAGCTTTGATCTTTATTTTCATGTTTATATGATACTTCTTTACTTGGGCCTTCGCTTGGCCAGCCCGTTCAATCGCGGGCCTATTTGGCCCGCCCCAGTCGGCCCGCGGTCTAAAGCGGGCAGCCCTGCGGTCCAGCCCATTTTTTTATTATTTGTTTATTTGTTAGTTTTATATTATTTATATTTAGTATTTCTTATTTATTTATTATTATTTGTCTTTATCGTCTTTTTTTTCTTCTTTTTCTTCTTCTTTCATATTTATTTATTTTATATTTTTTATAATATGACAATGGTATTAAGATCTGTGAATGCACATGAAACACTTTTTTACATAATAAAAATATTAATTAATCAAATAATATTTTATGTGAATTAAGTCTCTCCTCCGCGTGAATACCCTATAACTATTCATAAAAAAAAATAAAAATAAAAACTGGATGACAAATATTTAACATCATTACACATGAAGCCTTACTAGTTTATTAATATACTAGTAAATATAAAGATAAACAACCAAAAAGTATATAAGAGTGCATAATACCAAAAAATCCGCGGGCGGGCCGATTTGGCCCGCGGGCTAATGAGGGCGGGCAACGGTCCATGGATTTTCCAAACCGTAGAAATGCGGGCCATTTCGGCCCGCCCCGTTTGAACTGCGGGCCAGCGCGGGCTGGAGCGGGCCGGATCGGACCGGCCCATTTGACACTGCTACGTAAAACGCACGTCCAACTCATGAAATCGGTAGTCAATCTGTTGAAACCGATCATTGACGGTTGCATCACGTTGTTTGTTTGCAGCATCTTGTCGTCCCGGCGACATCGCGATCGTACTGATTGCTGATACCAACTGATGTAGGGAAGCGTACGAGTGGGAAGGATAAAATGAGTAAACGAGAAACTCTCTCGTAAACACGCAAAACTCACAATATCAATTCTTATTTCAACTCAATAATCAACCAAGGAAAATAAACTAGAGGGAGTCTTTTATATAAGGATCCTAACCCTAAACCTTAACTTGTCCAACAAGACAATAAATTTTATCAAAAATTAAACAATAATATTAAATTCCTAACTTATTCTCCAAGACACCTATTAAATAATAATAATAATAATAATAATAATAATAATAATAATAATAATAACAACAACAACAACAACAACAACAACAACAACAACAACAACAACAACAACAACAACAACAACAACAATACTAGATAATAATCTACACCACTGAATCTAAGGGAGACATACACAAAGGTAGCCTAGAGATCTTACACTAACACACCCACAAACAGACAAACTAAACAGTCCCATACGGGAGAATCGATACAGTCCCATACGGGAGAATCGAGCTTCTACTCAGAAGAATAAAACAAAAGGCCAACAAGGCATCCTAAAACACTACACAACACAAACACCAACAATACTACAATACTAGAATAAGGCCCTCCACTCGCCACAATCCGCAGCAATCCATGGCTCGACACCTAGAGACGTCCGCACAAGGGAAAAAAACCCAATCCAAAAAACCGAACCAAAAACTCCAACAATCGGCTAATTGGAACTGCAATCGGACCAAACTTCTCACCTGAACGGCAACCCCTAGACCAACACCAGAGGACAACTCCTTTCTCCCCAACTCTCGATCGACGATCCCATCCCAATCACCGGTCAAGACCACTTCTCAAACCCACAAGAAACAACCATCCCCCACCAACAAACAACACCTTGAAACGGGAAAAGGGGAGAAAAGGACGATACCTCAACCTCGACCCCCTCACCGGAGAAGGCCAGGACCAGCCGATCGACCAAATTTGGCGCCAATTGGAACCCGCTCCACCACCCATAGACGACCGGCGAGTGCGGTGAAGCTCTACATCGAGGAGGGGGCGACGACTCCTAATGGGACGAGCAGCTCGGGCTGGCGACGGCCGGCGCTATGGCGCATTGGATTGAGCAGCAGGTGAAGGCTCAACTGCGACTATGAAGCTTCTTGATTTGGGGAAAAGGGTTTTCGCGAGGAGAGAGGCGCCTTGGATTGAACAACACCTTGCCACTAGAATTTTGAAAGAATTCTTGTTACTCCACGATTTTTTGAGCTAAACGTTTACTTGTTTTTATATTGAAAGTTGCTTATGTTCATCAATTTATCGATTGTTGATATGTGCCGATAATGTTAAATTTAATGGTGTTCCTTCACTGTAATAGAGTTTGGAAAAAATGAACAATATGTGAAGTATGAAGTTGGTTGTAGTGCCCGTTCGAATAAGAAGTGTTTACATTTTATTGGTTGCCTTGTTAGCTCGACTGAATTCCTTCAAGTTCGTTAAGATGATTTAGACGTCTTCATCTATTTGATCTACTGAGTTAAATAATTTTTGTAGATATCCTAATCTACGTAACTTATTCCAAATTTATTATTTTGTTTGATAGCGAAAAATCGTTCGAAATTCTAAGTCCAGGTGCAGTCGATTCGGTGAGCCTATCAAGCAAGCCCAAGATAATTAATCTAGCCCTTGTTTCGGTCCGTTATGGCTCCAAAAACCTGGCAATCAAGTCCAATTTCGGCCTTTTTTTTCGGCTAGTTGTATTTGGTACCATTTTCTTTAATTTCAAATCTCAAATTTTGGAGTTCTTTTGGTGCGATTAATGGGCCTTATCTACACCCTCATTTGACCGACCAATTTCCTCTTTTTTATTCCAATTTATGCTATATTTTTGGTAAGCCAAATCACACATAATCCCCTAATTCTTCTTCATTAAGAAAATCCTTGCCTTGTACGTCTTCTTTCACACAAAACTCCCAGCCGAGAATTTTTTT